CGCTGAGACGTCTGAAGCATACATTCAAGATGTTCTCGCTCTCTGCCGGAAAGTAAACCTATCTATGTCTGACGACGAAAAAGTGGCCCACCTCATGAAAGGTATTGCAGAAGATTTGTACCAGGTCCTGTCGTCCCAGGACTATGACAGCGTCGATGCCTTCGTGAAACGCTGCCGTCACATAGAAAGCCTTCGACGAAGACGTATCGCCCGATCACGATTCCAGAGGCTGCCTAATGTCTCCGCGGTCTCGGCCGATGCGGACGCCAGTGAACTAAAGTCTATAGTGCACACCATTGTCAGAGAAGAGCTTCAGAAGGTCCTTACGCAAGTTCAGGGCTACACGGAAATAAAACCCGTAGCACCAAATGACATAGCATCTGTGGTCCGGGAAGACGTTATAGAGGCGCTGGCACCAACTCACAGGAGCAGGGAGAAGCAAACACACTACCCAATGTTCACTTCCAGTTAGGTCGCAACCAAGACGTGAAGCCAGCCAGAGAACTGCTCCACAACGTACGACAGATCTGTGGAGGACTGACGATAATGTACCTCTCTGTTTTCATTGCGGATGCCCAGGACATGTTCTGAGGGACTGTAGGGAAAGACGCCAGATATTTGAAAATGCAAGAGCCGCAAAGACGTCCAACCCTCGACGGGACAGGGATACTGAATCTACATACAGCTTCGACAACGAATATATGCACAATCTAGTTCTTCCCGAATAAGGAGCAGTTCACCTTATCCGCGACGCTCTCTCAACCGCCGACCAAATCGCAGTCACCAGTATGCCATCCAGCCGTTCCCCACGCCGAACCAATGAGAAAATTACTAGCTCAAGCGACCTGTACAGGAGGTGAGGCCGCAGTTGAAGAAAATCCTCCGACGTATACACCACAGCCAAGTTGGAAAAAGAATAACACTTTTATCACCGTGAACGGACAGTGTGTGAAAGCCCTTTGTTGACTTCGGGTTGCCGATTATTCTGTCATATCTGAACAGTTACGTCGAACAGCTAAATGCTCCTATGTTTGCTGAGAATGTCAACCTGTATTGAAAACTGCCTGTGGTAAAACTGTAGCTGCCTCGGGACGCTGTGTATTGAAAAGTTGATTTGAATGGGACTAAGGAAGCCGTTTGAATTCCTTGTGTTTCCTGAATGTAGTCATCAAATGATACTTGGATGGAATTTTTTCTGTGCCACCGATGCCGTTATCGATTTGTGGAAATCAAGAACTTTACACTTGCAGAAATCCTTCCAGACATTGAATATTTAAATAAGTCAGAGCTCCTCCTTGTTTGCCGCAACCGATTATGTAATTGAAGCAAACACCGCAAAGGCGAATATGTGCCTTGAATTCAGAACTACGGGAAGCAGACGGAAGCTATGATTGTTGGAAATAGAGTTTCTTATGTGCGAAAAGGAACTATCGATACCAGCTTCAATTGTCACTATAGAGGATGGTTGTGGTAAATTATGGGTAACTAATTGTTCTCGACGAAACCAACTGATACCGAAAGGGATGAATGTAGGCTGTTTAACGACCATAAAAAACGACGCTATTTGCTCCCTATGTGATCAGGCACCAGCAAGGTTCCAAGGGACATAGGTCCAGGAAAAGGTTTATCTCAAGAAAACTTAAAAGAAATTTTTGATACTGATTTGACCAATGCTGAGGAAAGACGAGCTATTGATGCTACTAGATGAATTTAGTGGACAATTTTTTGACTTTTAACAGTATTGCGAAAAAAATCCCGATGCAATTCGGTGAAGCACAAGATTGATACAAGGTGACAGTGCACCAATCAAACAAAGGCCATACCGTGTGTGTCAGCCACTGAGAAGGCGTGTGATTGCTGACGAAGTGCAACGAAATGCTAAAAGAAGATGTGATACAACCATCCAGATAGTCCATGGTCATCTTCCAGTCGTGCTTGTGAAGAAGAAAAATGGTGAATGGCGTTTTTGTGTCGATTACAGAAAAATTGAAACAAGGCAACTAAAAAGGACGTCTATCCATTACCTCGCATCGATGATGCTTTGGACTGCCTGGCTGGTGCAAAACTTTTCTCTATGATGGATCTGAAGTCAGGCTACTGGCAAATAGATGTTGATGATAAAGACAGAGAAAAGACAGCTTTTGTGACTCCAGATGGTCTCTATGAATTTAAAGTCATGCCGTTCGGATTATGCAATGCTCCAGCCACATTTGAACAGATGATGGACATGGTACTAAGAGGTCTCAAATGGAATATTTGTCTTTGCTACCTCGACGACATAATCGTGTACGCACCTAATTTCGAAGAGCATCAAAAGCATTTGAGGGAAATATTGAAATGTATCCAAAGAGCAGGACTGACGCTAAATTCCAAGAAATGTTCATTCGGCAAAAAGAAACTGACTATACTGGGACACTTAGTCGATCAACATGGGATATATCCCGATCCACAAAAGGTAGAGGCTGTAGCAAAGTTCCCTATTCCGAAAAATATCGCCGATGTCCGAAGTTTTCTGGGCTTGTGTTCCTACTACCGACGATTTATCCAAAAATTTCGCAGATATCGCAAAGCCCCTACATGACTTGTTGAAGAAAGATGCAAAATTTTCTTGGAACGCGTTACAGATTGAATCTTTCGCAATGCTCAAAAGGCTGCTGACCAGTGGCACTGTTTTGGGACATTTTATTCCAGACGCAGAAACCAGGATACATTCTGACGCTAGCGGCTATGGTATCGGTGCAGTACTGGTTCAGATCCAGGATGGCAAAGAAAGACCAATAGCCTATGCATCCAGGTCCCTTAGTGCAGCTGAAAGGAATTATTCCACCACCGAAAAAGAATGCCTTGCCATAACATCTGGGCAATTAGTAAATTCAGGCTATACCTCTACGGAAAACCCTTCACGGTAGTCACAGATCACCACTCTTTATGTTGGCTGGCCAATGTTAAGGATCCATCCGGAAGACTTGCACGGTGGGCTCTCAGGTTGCAGGAGTACGACATAAATATCGTCTACAAGAGCGGTCGGAAGCACTCCGATGCAGATTCACTATCGAGGAAGCCTCTTATAGAACCAATAATTGAGAACAATGAAGACATCCCTTTCTTTGCAGCAATCATAGATTACGGAAAAGAACAGCAGAAGGACAAACGACTAAAATCCATCATTGCAACTCTCAAGAGAGGTGACGCGTATCAAAATTATCAAATAAGAAATGGTATACTGTAGCAAAAGAAGCTATGGTCCCTATGAGGACAGCAATGGCTCTTGGTGGTAACCAAAGCAACTTCGTAGCGAGGTTCCTAAGAAGTCTTCATGATGCTCCAACCGCTGGCCATCTCGGATTTTGCCAAAATGTACGACGAAACCGAATAAGGAGGAAGTACCATTGGCCAGGGCTATATGGAAGCACACGGCGGTATGCATCACACTGCCGAGAATTAAACCAAAGACGGAAACTAGAAACCGCCGGTTTTACGTTGCACCAGGACAGTTTCATCCGATAAAACCTCCTGACACACACCGTTTACAAAAATTGGAATAGATTTACTTGGACGCTTTCCTGTTACTCGAAATGGGAACCGGTGGATTATAGTTTGCACAAGATTACCTTACCAGATTTACAGTCACAAAGGCAATACCGAACAGCTGAGGGCACTGAAATTGCCAAGTTTATAGTTGAAGAAATTGTACTGAAGCATGGGTGCCCCCAAAGAAATGATAAGTGACCGAGGACGCAACTTTCCTATCCAATGTTGTTAAAGAAGTAATTCATCTTATGCAAGACGTCTCATCTGCTGACGACTGCTTACCACCCTCAGACCAATGGCTTAACTGAAAGATTCAATAAAACATTGGCAGACATGTTGTCCATGTACGTAGACGTTGAACAGAAAAATTGGGATACTATTCTACCATTTGTAACCTATGCCTATAATTCAGCCAAACAAGACACAACGGGATTCAGCCCATTCTTTCTCATTTATGGCAGAGACATTCAGACTCCTCTCGACGTAATTTTCCCATACAGTATCGAAGATAGTTATGCGCAACATCTGATCACTAGAGCTGAAGAAGCTAGACAGCTTGCAAAACTCCATATTCTTAAAGCGCAAACCACAGACAAGCGGTGATATGACGAGAGACATCGACCTGTCAGCTACAACATCGGAGACTTTGTCTGGGTCTTCACTCCAGTATGAAAGCTTGGGTTATCCGAAAAGCTTCTAAGACGTTACTTTGGACCGTATCGAATAACACGACAGCTCTCTGACGTGACGTATGAAGTAGAAAGTATGGAACAAAATAAGAAACGATGGAATTCAAAAGACATCGTTCACGTGTTGAGGTTGAAGCCCTCTCTTGATCTGAAAGTACAACTAGATGATGAAAGAAAGCCCAATATTTCCAGGAGACCTGTTACAAGAAGCCAGACCAGAACGCAGCGGGACACTGCTTCTTCCCAAGAAGGTGATAATGTAGCGAAAATCGCTCTTTTCAACCGAGCTCCTCATAGCTTAGCGGAGAAGGCGTAGGACTCGAAACCTGAAAGTACCGGGTTCGAAACCCATCAACGGCAAGATGCCTGATAATTGGTTTTTATGTAAATATCCTTGTTGTTAATGTTATCTTATTTATGTAAATTTCCTTCTTATTCTTCCAGAACATTCCAAGTCTGGAATGTTTCAGCATGTTCACCAGCTGTATATAAGTAGCTCTTCATTCAGTTCTAATTAATAAAGTCTTGAGTTTAGACTTGTACTTGCCTGTTCATTTGTAGGATCCCCTCATCTATGCGACAATATTAAGCGGACAAGATTCATAATCTTGCACATTATGCATTAGAGTTCGTTCAATAAAAATTGATTACAACCATGTCTAAACTTAATATGAGTGCAAAGGTTTAATAACAGCTCATATAAATATGAGAATTTTATATACAAAATATTAAATCTAATAAACATATACAAAGCATACTACAAAATACAGAAATACTCACCTTTAAACCTATCTGTTTCTTTATCTCTCACTAAACGTATACTGGATATCTGAAACAAAATTTTTAAGAATAAATGCACAAGGTATAGACAGCAGTGTGTTGTTAGTTAACTAATTCTAAGCACTGGCCTCCAAGCCCACCCAGCAGGCGAAGCCTGCCAAATGGTTATGAGGAGACAGGCCAATCCAACAACAAACGTTAAATAATGAAGCATAACTAAATAAATGGTTAAATAACGGAACATAATGAACTTAATAAACATCTGGTTATAGGTTGCAAAGCTAAAATAAACACCAGCTCATACAATCACACAAAACGAACATTCAGAAACTCAAAAGAAATGATGAAAGAAATAAAAACACAACACGTAAAACAAATGCATACGTCCCAAGAACTCTCGTTGAAATCAGTATATAGAGGCACTATTTCCATTTCTATGTTCTTTCCCAAATTTTAAACCTTTATAAATTTTACTATCAATTACTATTATTCAAATTTTCTTCATATTATCAAATTCATCTTAAATTTGTAAGTTTACTTCCATTACATGTGTTTATTCCATTATATTCTTTTTATTCTCATTCACAATTTGCATAATACGTCTTGCAAATTTTCTAAACACTTTATAGTTACTAAATAAATCTTCAAACTTTGTAAATTTATATTTTCTTCTCACACTCTTAGTCAGGCAAGTCTTTGATGAGGTGCTTTGATTCACCAAATTTATTACAAGCTTTATATATACTGGAGGGGGGCCCTTTTTTAAATGAGCAGGAAACCTTTCATGTGCACTGAAAATTTGATCAACATCTCCTAAAAATTGCATTTCGTTTGGCTAATTTTTAAGCAACTTAGATGGTTTTGTTTCTTTCAGAGAGATTCGACATATTTTGCCAGTCTTTAAAAAGAGCTTGTATTAGTGTACACGTATTGTTTTTTTAACCTTGAATAGAAACCTCTTCGATCACCCCCTCCTCGTGCAGAATCTTTTGCTAGTGCATCTGCTCTCTCATTGACATAATGCCCAGCGCGAGCTTTGATCCAATGTAGATCCAGAATATGCTTCTTTCGTAGTTTTAAATAAATCTGCTTAAATCATTAGCAATTTTATGCTTTTGAAAAGGGCAGGAGAGTGCCATAAGTGCAGATAAGGCAGTTGAATGTAAATTAATGCAATACCTCATAGATAATTTCTTAATCCAGAATAAAGCCATTTTAATTGCCAGCAATTCTGCTTGATAAACTGAATTTCCTAGTCTTCCAGTACACTTCTTACAATCAATTTCAATACTGTGAAAAACACAACGAATGCACAGAACTCTGCGCAAACCCTGCATCATCTGCATAAATTTTAATTTCTCCAGTTGAAGTAGTCTTTAGCGTAGGATATACAGAGATCATGCTCTAAAAACATCTCGATGGTAATTAGTTATCCTCATACACTATTTTCTGCTTTGTATAATATATCTCAGACCAAATTTGTTATAAGTAAATTTAAATTGCAAGGAGAGAGGTAGTACACCAGCCAGTAGGCACGAAACTTCCATCGGGACTGTTTCAAATGATCTTGTTTAAGGGATGCAAGAGTTTAGGCTTTCTGCAACGAGTCCAATTTCTGCCTTGTCTTGACCAGCTCCACTGCTTGGTCACCCCATGCGTCAATACTGTAAAGAATTTTTGATGTAATAACATTTTTGTAAATATCCCTCAGGGTAGAGCTTTTGTTAGAGAGAGTGATCGGAGTAAAATTACTTTAATAATAATTAAATTTTTTCTATATTTTGTTGTACTGACTTAAAATGCTCTATAAAATTCAACATGTCATCTATCACTACACCCAGGTATTTAAACATATTCCCAAATTTTATTTTTTTAACATATTTCAATCTGGGGATCCTAACTTTTCCCCCTCACGGAGGACCATTAGTTTTTGCAATATTAAATTCTATAGTTTGCTCAGTACTCCACTTTTTAGAAATATTTTCAAGCAGGTTAAAAGTAACCTCTATTTTTTCGAAATAGTCTCGTGTAATAGTTACCATAATATCATCAGCATAACAGGTAATATTCATATCAGGTAGATTTTCTTGCAATAATTTATTTGCTATGAGGCTCCACAACAGGACAGCACTACACGAGCAATCAATCATTAAAACAATAGTTGAATATCAGAGTGTCTTTTATCAACTTACGATAAAATTCTGTGGCAAACATGAATACACTACAATTATCCTTATACAAAATAACTTTTTCCTTTACTTTATTTGTAGCATATATATAAAGCTTGTCATAATAAATCTTGTTTTTATTGAATAAATAACTTTAAAAAGTCTCTTTTTGTCCTTTAGCTTTTTGAATACAGCTGAAACTCTTTTATAATTAATTTTAGTTTGTAATTTTGTCTTCACGTGTAATTTTGTCTTCACTTGAAACAGAAGGTGTCAAAAACAAGTAAAATGATGTTTTAACTGAGAAAAGTTTTGATGCTGCATGGAAGAGTCAGAAGAAAGCAAAGTTCAAGACAAAGATTTCCAAAGCACTAGAGTCTCTTTCACTCCTAATCATACTACTAATATATATTCACATTATCACTATTCCGATATTGTTGCATTTTTCTTTTCTAACATCAGTTGTTACGTTATTTTCTACCTTCATGTTCGTACGGGGTTCGTGAGGATTTGGAGTGAATAATGACAATACTACTTGATGAAGTATCGAAACACACTTTATTGGCAGGTATTAATCAGGACAGCTCCAAAATCTCGTTTACAGTCATCGAACTGTTATAAACACGCTGACACGATCAGTGACACAGCTTTTAGGTTATCAAGCTATCACTATGGAGACAGCTTCACTGCAAAGCACCAGAATACAGCTCCCGACTCTGCTCGGTTGTTCTCGGAACTCCACGTACTCTCGAGACTCTTCACGCTACAACTTGCGATGCACTTGACAACAAACAGAGCATGGCTCCCGACTCTTCGGTTCAGTCGTTCCCGGAGTTCAACACGCTCTCTCGACGATGCACTAACCGCGATACACTAAGAGACTCCTTCGGTGAACTCGACGACCCACTCAGCACTCGCTGCCCGGCTGTCAACTTGATCAACTCGCTAGACGAGACACCAACTCGATACTAACCATCTTGCACTCTTGAAGCACACACACTCGCTGACTGCGCACCAGCAGGGTTTATATAGCTTTCAGCTTGTGTTCAAGAACATTCTGGGCTAAACCGGTAAGAATTCGTTCCAGAAGGATCTCCATCCGTCCATGGTATATCGCCTATTTTGTCACCAAATGGACAATTTCTCGCCAAATGTGGCAACACTACCTTCACTTGCCATTTTATGGCAACCCTAACCTGCTTTGTGGGAAAGCTATCTCACAGCACCTGTACATTTGAGAGGATGAAGTTTTAAGTATGTATGCTTGCTACACAGAATAGCCTGTCAACTGACATAACAGAAAATAAGAGTTTAACATTGTTGGCTGTTGACCAGCTACTCCTTTGACGGCGGTAGTGGAGTTCCTGCTACGTAATCAAAAAAATTATATGCACCAGACACACGGTTAGTTAGACAGCTTACATAGCAAAAGAGGGTTTGTATGCATTTCTCCACATGGAAATTAAATACTTTCAAGGACAATTCATGAAAAAAATTAAGGACCTATCAGCAAAATGGGAGCTGAATAAATTCAATTAAAATATTATCTATGCCGGCTAATCTTTAGAATATGGTAACAGGTAGTTTGGCAACATTTTGGTAAGGCGATAGAGGTTACTAGCTAGGACTTCAGCAATAATCTGAGAAGTACACAGTTTGAATCACAGATTATTATGTCTCAGAGAAGTACAAGACGTAATGTGACATTTTCCAGAAAGTTCCAATCGTGATTTTAGCTAATAAGCACTTAGAAACAATTTTGCTGCTAAAGTGCAGAATTGCTCACTTATTTTGTTTGGCGCTTTTTTACAAGAGTAAGAAGAATTGGATTTTTGTCAATTTTCTTTGACTTTTAAAGTGAAAATAGGTCGATGTGTACATAGATAAAGTCAAGAGTGTACACAATGCCTTTTTTGTGCAATTCTGGGATTTTTTTTTAAGTGAAAATAGGTCAACGTGTACATGGATACCATGTATGTGCAATTCTTAAAAACGCGGCAAGCAGTTTGCGATTCTGCACTTTCTCCCAATTTCGCACCTAATCTTCATCATGATTAAGCACTTTTGTTCCATAAAAGTATAAGCGTAATTCAGCTAGCAGAATGTTGGAAAAAATTTTGAGTAAAAAAAAAAAGCCTTTACTTCGTGAAAACAAAATGGCATCCAAAACAAAACTAGCAGGTTGCTGTAGCAGGGTTGGTCGCCAAATTTTCACCAAAAAATCGCCAAGTTACGATAATGTAAAGATTCACCTCTATGCCTTTTGTAATACCATCGTAAGAATAAAACAGATCTAAGTAGTATGCATTATTATTAAATATAATTTAATCAACATAATTACAAAACAAAATCAAGTTTAAGAAGATTTCACATTTAGCTTTATATTTCATGTCTCATTTTGTTACGTACTTGCTCAATCTAGAGATTTAGTAAATAGCATAGGTTAAAATGAGAAGTAAAATCATAAACAGCATGATTCGTAACAGAAAACTGACTGTTGCCACGACTGATGCTTGTTTAGAGAAAGACCTGGCTGGTCTAAGCAAACCTGAAAGCATGATGTAGGCATAGTTGGCAAGTTTTGAAAGTTAGTTATGTTCTGTCTGTCTGATGGAGTTTGTGTCATAGCTTCGTATAGAGTTTCTGGGATTGTAACCCAGTTATTTTACTTTAAGGTACCAATAAGCCAGTAAAAGCACCAGAACTTATAAGTTGTTTTGTATTAAGTCTCACTAGACGCAAAGAATGTTTTACATTAATTTTTATATTTTTGTGCTGTATTTTGTGACCACGGTAAATATTAATGAAGGGCAATAACTTACTTTAATATGCAGATATAACTTTTAAGGATGAGCTGTTAGTTACAAATAATTAAATTAGG